TAGATGAAACGTTAAGAGCTTAAAATTATTCTTCGAGGAATATAGTCAACATGACATAAAACGTTACATTATACAACTTTATGTTGTTATATCTGAAGTTAATCATGAAATATAATCAAACTGAAGTTTAGTAGCTAACAACAACGAGTTTCTAACTAAATGCTAACAATCGTATTTTATACAGCTATTTATATTAACTATTATAAAATTTAGAAAACTTTGCCAATATTACAAAAACATTTTTATAAAGCGATGGCTCAAAAATAATTAAATATAACTAGAACGATAATTTAAGAAATATTTAATTAATAGATACATAAGACAATATTATAATTTTTTTTTATATGACCTTTTCATTATTTCTACATATAATAAAACTTAAGTCGATGAAAATAATTATTAAAATAAGTTGGAAAGTTCCGTTTCATTGTTTTAGCGTCGAGGTCCCGTCTGTTATTTACCGCTAAAGCGAAAATATGGTCTTCGCTATCACAGTTAATTCTATATAATAAAACAATATTTTTTAGCTTAAATTTTAATACTTGCTCGTCTATTTTGTACTCTCAATTACCAAAAAAAATACATGGAAAAAAGACTGCAGTACAACACTAACCCGAAATAATTCTAGGTATATGAATACTGTAAACATAATAATAAAAAACATCTATTTACTTAACATTTTAATAAATGTAAACGATAAAAATATAGTAATACAAAACAATGCCACTTTCAACATTTACGTTAATCTATTATTTTAAATTAATTTAAATAAAAATATGTCCGGACGGCAGTATGACATGAGAAATACAAGAAACTATAAAAAATATAAGAAAGAAAAAGACTTAAGTACACTTAAGTGTCTAAAATGAGTGTGTGCCAAAAAGCTTAGCTTTTTCAGTAATCGAAATCTTCGCCAAAGCTATTTCAGGACGATCCATCCATTCAATTCACGAAGACTGCTATCTTTTAACAGTGGTAAGCGACATTTATTCTTTTCTTTCTTTCTATTTTTTTTTTTATTTTCCAAAAACCCGACTGTTTTCTCAGAATGTAATTTAGATACACCATTTAAAGTTTGAATCTTAAGGGTAATATTTAAACATAGACTCTAACGTATTGAATGGTGTATCTCAAGTATAGCGATGCTTTAAGAAACTATAATTTGAATAATAAAAACAATCAATTGTAATATTTCAAAACGTTTTTTCTTATAGCAAAGCAACGTCAAATCAAATGTACAGATTTATAAAAATAAAAGTCACAAAAAGTTTGTCTACTAACTTTGATTCTAAATAACTAATATGAAAATAAAATGTTCTCATACACTAATAAATAAGAGATCTCTTCAGACGATTTTACAAATTCATAAATAGATATTTATTTTTATGTTTAGCTTATTAATTACCATATTTGAAAAGAATACAAAATGAATAAATATTGAAATTAATATTTAGTATTTAATCGTTATTCCTAAAAAAGTAATACAGTTTTTAGATTCTAATGGAAATTCAACTGCATTCCGTTCACTTGATTCAAGAAACCCTTTTTCATTCGTGATAATGGAATCCAATTAAATCGAAAATAATTATTATTTTTCCGAAACTACGAAATCAAAAGACCTTTGGTAGCTTTCTTATTAAAATTTAAAACGAAACCCCGACGGTATTACACGAAAAACATACATATTTATACTTTGTGAAAAATGAATAACCTAATCACAGTCAAACCGTATTTATTTGCATGATATTTGACAAAACTGCAGATGTCGTCACCATATATACACTATTCCATTATGCGATGAAAACGCAATTGCTCCATTCTTTTTATATTCGTCAAGAAATCAATAAGTTCAATCTGCCCCAGAAGTTCATTTTTTTCTGTTATTTATTGAAAAAAAATGCAGGAGTGCTTTTGCCAAAGTGAGACGAGATAATATAAAACAAAAAGCGAAGACAAAATTAATATTTTCTATCTTCAGGGTACGCGATTTTTTCCACAACTAAAAAAAAAATCAATAACTACATAGATACTATAAATTACCCACAACAACAGTACGTGCATTCATGAATAATATTAACCGTATATATCATCATTACGAAGAGTCCTTAAACTCTTTTATACACCACCACGTCGATATTAATTATTTATAAAACGGAAAAAACGAGTTCCTCTAAGATGGTCAACATAATCCACAAACTAACACACACACGATACAATTTTATTATCTCCAGAAAGAGTAAAGACAGGAGGAATCACATAATAATATACATAAATTTTCTACGAAACCACCAGTCTGATTAACAGCTTCCTTTAGACTGAACTGGCGCACAGTACTGGAAGTGCATGTTTGTAGAGAAAAAATTAAAGCAGATAGACTGGTTTTTTTTCTCATGATCAGAGAGCCGTCGTATTGTAGCATTTGGGGAACCTAAAGTAATTAGACACTAATAAACATGAATTACGGAAACGGTCAGTACACAATATCAAACATGACAATACTGAAACGATAATAGTATGGTAGCAGCGTGAAATTATTTATAGAAGTCGGTTAATCATAGTTCACGGCTTAAGATTATGGATTGGTTTGATGTGTGCGTTTTCAGCAAAAGAAACAGCCAAAGAAAGAATTTGAAGTAGACGTGTTACTTAGCAGCAAAAAAAAAAAAAAATACATGAGAACACAATGCTATATCAACAAATATTACTATCACATTATCAGATACTTAGATGGATTTTAAGAAATTTATGGGTTTTCTGAAATAAAAATATGTGAGTGATGACACATTTAATGCGCCTTCTTTACACTATCATTAATCTCTTGGAAATATCTCGAAGAATTAGGAAAAAGACGAACTGTTTCTAATCTACATGGGAGTGGCGCCAGAGAACGATAATGATAATGACGAAGGGTGAACAGTTGTATAGAAATAGGACGTTTAAATTCCGGTTGTTGTTGGAGAGAACTAAAAGGGTCGATTATCCATTCTGTTTACAGACAGCAGGTCTAAATATTTAAACTCTACATACGCTGTTTTTATTACGATTTTATATCTTGTTTTAATTATTAGCTCTGTAACACAGTTTTAAATAAATTTACTCAGTTTAACAAAGTGGCAATTGCGATTAAACCAAATAAGAACTTAATGGTTATTGTTTCATAACAAATGGTAACCTAATGCATAATAATATTGTTCCATCCAGCATAATTTTGATTGAATTTAAATTAATTATGCTAAAGACACTTTTTCTTTGGGGCGTTAAATAAATAAACAAATAGTACTTCTAACAAATAAACACAACACAGTACTATTATCTCAGGGATAAAGTGTGTAATAACGTACAATTTACACAAAGAGAAAACAAAAAACTCTTAGTAAGGCATTTTAAATGGTAAGAAAAAAGATTAGGTAGCACAGACAATATTTCTAGAGAACGCAGTTTTTGAAAAGATAAAAGCAACAAATTTTGCTTTAACTCAGATTTTTGTTAAATAAAACGAGTCTACTGAGAGTACACGCGCGGAAGTCCGTGAGATCAAAAAATTACTGGAATGCGGTGTAATATATTTACTCCAGGAATCCAACTGATGAATGCCAACATCATAAAGATATACGACGTGTGTAAATAGATGTGTACACTGCAAAATGTATACGAATAAAATAATTAAACTTGCTGACTGAATTATTATATCAGAATTAATAATAATTTGTTTTCTTATCTCGTGATAAATCATCACACCTCATACGTATAGAATGATTAATAATAATGCATAATTTATCATTCATCACTAATGAACAAATTATAGGGTAGATTAGATTGCAAACAACTATATCTCAAAACTATAAAACTATTTAAAAAGAAACAAACACTCAAATAGCATATATTCTTGTAACATGATGTGCACATACCACAAAAAAGTTACTGGATATATACTACATTTACTACAATTTTCTAGGAATTTTCAAATTTTAAATTAAAATGTAATATTTAATAACACAACAGTACTTTATTTTCAAATTTCTCAAAACTTTATATAACCATTTTTATTAAACATTCTAATTTTTGGAATATTATGATAAAAATAACTATAATTCATGAATACAAAAGTGGATACTTACAAAATTGAAAAAACCTTATAAATAAGCTATAGATTATTTGATATCTTAGGTATTTTGATTTAACAAATAAATATAAAGTTATATAATTAAGCTACTTTTTTTATTATTATTTAAAAGTTTTAATACAACACCATAATGCATTTTGATCTTACTTTTATTTTTTTTATTTTCAATCACAATCTTTTGTTGAATCATCCTTTAGATATATATATTTATTATATATTTAGTTAACTAATAATTTTTAACACTGATAAGATAATTTTAAAATGAATGGAATAATTTATTTAATTAATAAAGTTAATTTTATTTAACACTAAGAAATTGTGATTTAATATTAAAATCCAATTTTATATAATCCACTTTATACCACATTATTTGAGTCTGGATTTACATGCATTTATAAATTTTGTATAAGCCGTCTAAAAAAGACTCACATTTGTACAAATTTGTTGTATGAATATACAGTAACGTAGAAATATTTTTATTTCATGGGGAATAAACCCTCATAATCCATTCAACATTATAACATTATAGCCCCAGTTAAATCACATTTATAATTTTTCAAACTTATTAATACCATTTTTTCAGCTAGTGATGCTTTTAGAATAACTTAACAATATTTATAAATCCAGACACTACAATATTAAATTAACTAATCTGAATTCATTAGTACTTAATAATTTTTAACCAATCAAAAAAGTATCTGTACACTTTCCAAAGTTCTTTATTTTTATATTATTTATACATAAAAGTATGGTGTAGTAGTTATTAGAAAATATGAAAATTAAAATTAATATAAGTAGCTATTCTTAAAAATGTTAATTGAACTTTTTAACTCATTATAAAGCTAATAATAAGTTTTAGATATACAAATAAACTTACCTGAGTTGTATATGGCTGTGAGCTTAATCTGATACCATCTTGTAATAGTTTATCTTTAAGTAATAATTTTAACTGAAGTTTTGGTATCCTCACTAATTCTGCTTTACCTTCTTCATACTCATCGTAATGAACTTGTTGTAACTCTTGGTTACTACTACTAGATGACTGTGCTGGACTGGGAACACTTTTTTTGTTTGTACCATATTTACACTCTTCTTGAATAGCAGCAGACTCTTCTAAAGTGAAATAAACACTAGCTGCACCTTCCTCGCGTAGAGTACGTACAGATTGCAGTAGTCTATTACGGTGAGAAGGATTGAACACACCAATAGCATCCAAGTCGGGATCACCAACTTGTTTGCAAATTTCTAAGTCATCATAACCATTATCCAAAAATGAATCAGAGTATTGGCCTAATTGAAGTGACCTGAGCCACTCAACTACAATGTTACTACCACTCTTACTGGTCATTGGACTTGTTCAACGCATATATCACAATTTTGACGAACGTTTATGGACCCTGAAACTCTTCAAAGGACACATTTACAACAAAAGCTGATACAAAAAAAATAACGGTACTATTGCCATAATCAATCGCACATTAATATCATAACGTCGGAGAGGCAAACTATAAACGCGGAACTTTACACAGATTCTGTGCGGTTAACACTGCAGCCAAAAATGCGATAACAACGCGTGCGACCCTAATCTCATTCTATTGGAGGACATATTGACATTCTCTAGACAGTCTTAACTGTTACCGCTAGATATCGTTACTAATACCTATTTTATAAAAAATTGAAATGTAATGAATTTAATTTATCTAACCAATGAATCAAATTGAAAAATTGAGGGGTCTAATGCAACGGCAACATTATGTAATCTTTTTTAAACAAATATTTTTATGTCAGATAACAAATAAAAAACCAAGTCTCACGTCTCAAAATAAATTCCATCTAGTACTTCCTAAAAGTGCACAATTTATTTAAAATTACAATATTATTATTAGCGAAGGACAGACCTATTCGGTTGCTGTTGTGCAAAAAGTGAAAAAGCAAATTAACTGCTCTTGCAATTTTTTAATTGATCGATTTCAGTTTATTAAAGGTTTTTTTTTAGGTTATCGCAATATAATTTCAGGAATTTTGGAAAATAATGATTGATTATTCTTTGAAATTTTTGAACATCTGGTTAGCGTGAGCCAGGCGAATGGACTATTACGAAGTGAACTTGACAATGAAGATAACAATTGATGTGTCAAGGTAATTTCCTAAATAAAACTTACTGGCGAAAATTGTGTAGGTACTTAATTCTAATAATAGTACTAAAAAATTTAATTTCATAAGTCAACGAGTAAATCAACTTTCATTGTTTTTATTTAAATCATTATAATATTTTAAATAATAATTATTAAGTATTTGAAATAATTTTATTGAAATATACCTTATAACTAATTAATCTGATTATTTGTAGCATATTATACATTTTTAATCTTAAAACTTTACAAGTAATTAGGATGAGAGAACCCTTTTGGTTGAGATAATAAATTCAGTAAACTATATATAGTTTACTGTAACTATAGTTAGAGCTTAACAACTGATGTTTAATACAAATTTCAAGTCGTGACTTGAGATTTATATGAAATCAAGACGTTGTGGCTATATTTGTTTAGAAAAGTAATTTTAATTAAAATTACTTTACCAAACAAATCGTACCTATTTAGTTTTGTCGTTGTTATAACAACGACAAAACTAAATAGGTACGATTCAACTTAACTTAGTGAACTTCAAGTATTACAAACAAAAATTATATTTATAAATGAACTTTTAAATAGATGTATATAAACCATAATTTTCAGCCTACCTAAATCAGTCAATACACATTGTGCTTTATAAGCTTTAATAATAATAATAATAGGCAATAAGCTTTTAGGATGTTAAATATGAATAAATAATATAAACTAAAACGACCAGTCAAATTTAACAGAAGGTACACCCAAAGAAAAACCTTAATCAAAATTGAAAGAGAAATTTTATCAAGGGTTTATGATAATGTTTTATTAATACGAACAAAATAACTATTCTTATAAATAATTATTGTTCAAGACAAGAAAAAAAAATATCATATTGATAAATATATCATTGATTCAATAGTAATGATATATTTATCAAATTGAACAATGAATTTATTATATAGATCGAGGTTATTCTCTGGGTGTAGTAACGCTACTTGGATGCCTTTTGTCGACGTCTAGCGGTTGGTAAAATCACCAATGCACTTGCCTATAGCTTTGTGCATATAAAGATCTCCCGAGCATAGATGAAAATCAAACAGATTTTTTCTAAAAAAAAAAAATTATTATAAAAATGTTTTTGCAATGGGTCTTAGAAAATCTAGGACTGTTCCTATTAAATTAGATAATTAATTATCTACTGGTCTTATTCGAGTTTTGAGTATGCAGAAACATTTATTCTAACAAATAAATGAATATTAAGCAATTATTACTAAAACACATTAAAATTTTTCGACTATTGTGTAACTTAATAATATGTAATAAATGTTTTATATTGATACATAATTTAATTTACCTTTGCATAGGTGTAAAGTAGAAGATAGTAAGGACCATTACTCACTTAATTTGATTTTTTCCAGCCCGTGAAAATTTTTATTTTTCTACATTAGTAAAAATGAATCACAGACTTTAAATCAAAAGGGTCAAATAATAAAAATATGTTTTTAACGTAGTACAAAACTTTAAAAATTATTTTTAAAAAAGTAACGCAAAGTATTTGTTGGACTAAAAATTATTAAAGATGTCAAAACCAAACGAATACTCGAAAATTATTAAATTTCGTGTACTTTATGGATAATTAGTCTACACATTTTTTTGATTTTTTTTTTTAGTTTTGCTCAAAATCTATCTGAAAATAAAATTTTTAGTAAATCGGTTGTCATAAATTTTGGGGAGTTGCAATCTCATCTTCCCCTCCTGTCTATATCCCTATGGCATATATATATATACTGAACTCTAATTTTATTTAATATTATAATAAAGAAGTTAAACATAGGTGTAAAACTTATTTTTTTTATTATAAATTTTTTTAAAAATACAGTATAATAAAATTTTCATGAAAAATTATTACCATTATTTAAATTATCATCTAAGAGGTTGAATTTAAGGTCATCGCGAAGGAAAATGATCTATTTTTAGAATTACATTATTAAAAATAAATTATATTTTTGCTGTGATTTAAGGTCACTTACGAAATATTCATAATGATATTCTACCAATTATATTTCATCAAAATCTACGGTTTTTATTTTTTTAAACTTAAAATAATAATCATTTAATTAATTAACATCGTAATTTGAAAACAAATAAGACCTTTTTCTATTTTAAAATCTTATTTATTTTACAATCAACAAGTCGCACTTAAAAACATGATAACAGTTATCAACGATTAATGTTACGTGTTGTTACAATCATTTTCTGATCTCTATAGTAAATACACAGCTGCACTTACTAAACTTTAAACTAGTCAATTATTATAAGTTTCGATTTTTCTTTAAATTTTCAATAATCTATAATTTTTGAATTGTACTACAATTTTTATAATTTAACATATTTTATTTAAACCATTTATTATTTAAAAATTTCAATTTGTTAGTAATATGACTGTTCTTAAAAGACTACAAGCTCTAATCATGGGTGCCCCTGGTTCTGGTAAAGGCACGATTTCTGAAAGAATTGTTCGAACTTTTGATATGATGCATATATCAAGTGGCGACATACTCAGAAAAATGATACGTGATAAAACTGATCTTGGAAATGAAGTTAACAAGTATGATGTGTTTAAACTATATCAATGATGAACTGTTTCATAGTAAATATTCATTAACCTAGATTTGTTGTTAATGGACAACTTGTACCTGATGACTTGATGTTGAAAATTATTGGTAATGAGCTTAATCTGTTATCATTAGCTGATAGAAGTTGGTTGTTGGATGGATTTCCTAGAACAAAACCGCAGACATTGAATCTATTTAAAATAGCTCCTGTTCAAGTAGTTATAAGTCTAGATGTGCCTTTTGATGTTATAATTGATAGAGTTAAAGGTAGGAACTTAGTAAGAAAAATATATTTTTATCAATAGTTTTAAATACCTAAATATATTTTAATAGGTAGATGGATACATCCCAGTAGTGGAAGGGTATATAATACAGACTTTAATGCACCTAAAATTCCTGGGCGAGATGATATTACTGGTGAGCCTTTAGTACAAAGAGAAGATGACAAACCAGAATCTGTAAAAAGACGTCTTGAAATTTATTCTGAAATGGCAGGACCAATTTTAGAGTTTTATGCTGAAAAAAATATTTTAACTCAATTTTCTGGTAAAACAACAAATGAGATTTGGCCCAAAATTTATAAATTCTTGGCAACAAAAATTGAACCCAAAGAAAAGCTTACTTGAAAAAATTTGGTATTTTCAAGATTTTTTAAGAATTTTGGTTTTTTTGCATAGACTTAATAAAAAATTGTAATCTTATTGAGATTTCTCTAAAATTTCATACTATGTTTATGTACCAAAGATTATTTGAAAAAAAGCTGTTTTATCTTTTTCAAATAAACTAATTATTTATATCATTAAGATTATGAAATTAAAGATGTTTACAAATTAATAAACAGACATTTACAAAAGATTTTGGTATATTATTGCGAAAATGAAATTTTAAAGTGAATAAAATGATAATTGTGTAAATAAATATGTATAATATTTAAAATATAGGCATCTAAAAGAGTTAAGTTTCAGTTAATAATGGTTTAACAAAAATTGTCGAGGTTCTTGATCACTAAATATAGCTTTTTTAAATATAAATTAAAATTTCTAACAAACCTATTTGTAAAATTTTAATTTTTAGATATTTAAAAAGAACTTGAAAATTCTCTATATAGCATTTTTTCTTACTTCTTGTTCTAGAGTGCAGTAGTTACTTTTTTTTTTTATTGCACATTACATTAAATAATTAAAAGTTAGTGGTTTAATCAGATGTATGGTTTGATGAGGAAACCTAATTAAAGATAATTTTATAATAATTCAAGTTTACTTTTAAAAGTTTAACTGAATTTAAAAAATACCAGTTAATCTTATATTAAAAATTAATAAACAAAATATTTTTCGTATTGGTTATAACATAGTTATTTGTATGTTTGTTAGTTGAATTTGTTCTAAAAGTAGTTGAGGTTATTTAAAATTCTGTATAAAAAAAGAATTTCGTGATAAGTATAGTTTTTACACAAATACTAAAATAAGGAGTAAAATTAAAATGTGTTCTCATTTTAAAACAAAGACAATTTACAATCAGACTAATTTTTATAAATAATGGTTTACTGTCTCAAATATATATATATTTTTTTCTTTCTCTCTGTCCAACAGGAATTATACTATATCAGCATATCTGAACTAAATATGTAAAATAATCATTTACAGAGTTATTTTTCTATCATAACAAATCAATTATTCACAGAATAAAAATAATTTTGAAATTTTTTAGTTATCATTAGCTACATATTATTCTTGAATTATTAATTAACTATATTAAACTTTTTAATTTCATCCCTTGTGCCTTAAAAGGATGTTAACTTTATTTTTTAAATAACAACATATTTGAAGTCAATAAAATGTTTGAGGTTTTATTTTAATAGTAAATGCCATTTAAATTTTTAACATAACTTCACCCGTGTATTAGATAAAAACTTTAAATATTCAATTTTTTTAAGTCAATATACATTTAAATATACAAGGGTTTAGAAATATAGGTAACTAATTGATATTTATTTCGTCTTTATTCACAGACATAACATTTATTGTCAATTTTGACTTTATCGACAGATATGCTTTCTGTAGTATCAGTTGGTGTATTTATAAATGTTAATGCTACCTAATTAAAATGCAATTTTCTATGAAAATAAAACTCAACAATTTTATTTAATTTAAAATGTGTTGCCATTTGCAAAAACAATGTTAACACCACTACAAGTTACAAGTGATGAACTTAAAAAGTATTACATAGCTAATAATTCAAGATTATGTAATTAACGATAACAAAAAAATTAAAAATTATTTTTATTGTGATAAATTAAGTTAGTTATACAAAAATGATTCTGTATATCTGATATAATTATTAAATATATGTTCAATTTTTAAATGAATTTTATTCAAATGAAATTGTTTTTAATTATCTTTGATAGCGGTGTTTCGAGATTCAAGCAAATAAAATAATACAATTAATAAATAAAAGTAGTTAAATATTTTTAATTTTTTTAACTTTTTTGTTTGACAAAAGTAATGATTTTCTTTTAACAGGTATTTTATTAATAGTTGTCTCCAAATTATCATTTTCATTCCTGTAAATATGAAAATTAATAATAATTTTTTAAATTAACATTTAACAAATAAAATAAATATGATGTATCTATTTACTTTGATTTAAAATCATTAATTTTTAAAACTGATTGTTTCAGCTTATTCAAAATTTTTCGACCAGCTTGATTATATCTGTACTTTGAGTTTTCCAAAATATTCATAAGTTGTTCCCAATCACAACAATGATTTGAAAACTTATTTGAACTTATCACACATAAAATATTCAATAATTCATTTATGTATCGTTGACGACCAGAGATATCTGGTTGACTATCATCTAATGATGTGAAAAACTAAAAAATTGTTTTATATTAATTATTGTTACTTAAAAAGAGGAAATAGCTTTTACATTTATTATATTATCTGACAAATTTCTTTCAATTTGGTCCAATTTGCTTTTGTTTTTAAGTTGTTCAAGATGTCTAGTATTATGATAGAAAGATACTATAATGCATACAGCTTGAGAACGTCTAAACCATCTCACTGTATTACTAAACGCAAATGGTAAAATGCATTCCAATAAATGTATATTACGATCCCATGAAACTTTAGATAACAAAGACTGAAACAATGTCACAGGTAATAAACAATCCCTAAAATATAAAAAATAAAACTGATATTAAATTTTTTTTTTTTATTAAATTTCTGAATTTAGCAAAAAATTGTATACCTTTTAGTAAAAAAATCATTTAATGAACTTTCCAATATACTAATTATTTTAGAGGATTTTTGTTTTTTAATGGACTTTTTTAATAACATATAAACATATGATTTTACTAAAAACGTACAACATTGTGTTATATGAACACTGATATCCAAAAACACTGGTGTAGCTAAAAACAACAAAATTTTATTTAGTTAAATATGAAAAATATTAAGTAAAATCACATACTTCGAACTCCTTTATCCATTAAAACTTTCAATACTGTAGATATAATGTCTTCATCAACGGATTCCGTGTTATCAATTTTTTTTAACTGGCTGATTTTTTTAAGAATAGATCTTACTCTAGTTTCAAGTGGACGTTGTTGAACATCTTTTATACAATACTCTAACAAAGCAAATAATGTAGGGATAGTGTCTATTACAAGACTTAGAGATGGGCTATTTTCTAAGTATATATCAACCAAATCCAAGACTCTACAATAAGAAAAAAAACATGAAATTACAAATTTTTTATTTGAAATTATAATATAATTCATTAATATGATTACCTAAGTCTGAAGTTCATCTTTTCTTTAATGTGTTTAGGGTTTTTGCTAGAATTCTTTTTAAAATTTTTAAAAGCTTCAGATAATAAATCATCCATCATCTTACCTTCCTCTTCAGTCATATCATCAATATCAACAGATTCCTTTAATAATTATAATAATATATAAAATAATTACTACTAATATTAATAACTAAAAATATTGCATCCACTAGAGTTACACCACATTATATGTATATCAGCATGAAAATGTATGTATTATTAAGCAGTTGTGGAATTATGAGAAGGGTCTAAACCCCTTATGGATATAAAATCATATATTGGTAGTGGAGGAGTAAATCTCTCATACACTATTTTCTAAAATATATTTAGATCTCTATACACAATTTCTAAATAAACCACTGTAATTGATATAATTGTACTGTACAATTTGAAACATTTGTTACTTACATTATAATTATTGGCTTTTCTTTCCATGTCAAAAACATAACATATATTATGTTTATTTATAAAAAAATATTAAAAAATGAATTTTTAAGGTATTTAAGTTCAATTTTTTGTTCTATTACTTACATCATCTGAATGCTGATTAGCAGACATCATTGCTTTGTGTAATGCTAATTTTAATTGTTCAGTATTATCTTGATCTTCATCACTTAATTCTTCTTCAATTTCAGAGCAGTCACTCTCATCATCATCTTCACAATGTCCATTTATTTTATTTCCATTGACTTTAACATAATTTTCTTCTTCTTTTTCTTCATCATTTTCATTATTTTCTTCGTCAGATTCAGATTCTGTTTCGTCATCACTATTTTCATTCATTGAATTAGTAACTGTATCATACTCTGGATTTAACACCTATATGTCAATTTATTTTAATATTAATGAATTATTTATTTAAATATTCTAATATAAAAGTTAATAATTTTGCAAATATACATATTTAAAGTATCTAAATTAAATACTTGTAAAATTTGATGACTAGCTTGTGGGGTTAATTCTGAACACAAATGTGAAAAAATTCTAGTTATAAGTTGTCGTAACAAGTATGATTCTTTAGCTAACAATGATAACATTAACTCTACAACAACCTCAACCCAGTGAGGTTCATCTTCAGTTTCATCACTTTTTTCGGTTTTATGATGTTCATAACAACTTTTTAATTCCTAAAAATAAAATAAAATTTAAATCTATAAATAACAAAAAATATTATTTTAAGTTTGAAATAGAATTATATATAAATTTACTAACCTCTAAAGTATCTTTAGCAATTACAGGTTCAACAAAAAGATATAATCCCATTTGTAAAAACATAGTGTGAAAAACAAACAGAATTGACTCTTCTTTAGACTTGCTTTCACATTTTTTCAATTTTTTTTCTATTTCTTTAGTAGTTTTTAATACAAGTTTCCAGACAGACAAATCCTAGAAAGATAATAATACTTTTAATGTATTTAGATATGTAATTTAAAAACCCAACTTAAATTTTTACTTTTTATTTGTGAAATATCTTAGCTAGGTATTTAAAATAGTTTTTTGAACTAATGTTTGAGAAATTATCTCTTTATACTACATAATAAATCTTTAAGAAGTATTATTATGCTTATTTTATCCAACAAAGTCTAATATACCAATTACAAAAAAAAAAAAAAATGAAGTAACTTGCATGCCAGCTACTATAGTGTTCAGGAAGGAAAAGAATTTCTATTCTTCTCATTGTTTGTAACAATTGACCTGTTTTTTTCTTTTGAAGCACCCCTTGTATATTAATTAATCTAACAATATTTGTTATGAAAGTAACTCATAGTTATAATTTATTTCTTAAAATTTAACTTATATTTAAATTATGACTAAAAGAGTTGACTTACCTCTTTGGAAGTTTTTGGTCTTAAGGTATGATTTGATTTTAAGAGCTCATCAGCATATTGCACAAGAGTAGATAAAGTAATTCTAAGAGAATTCAAATTTGGTTGTTTGTGACTAAGTGCTTTTAAAAATGAGTCTCTTATAATGACTAAAAAATAGAAAAATTAATTATTGTGCATAGTTAGTAAAGTTTAAAAATTTTAAAAATTACCAGACAACTCATGACTTATATAATTTTTATCATTAGCACTAGTGAAAAATGCATTTTCTAACATGAACTTCATTTGCTCAATTTTCCATGAAATATCTGAACAATTTTGAAGTCCCAACAATCTACAAAAATAAAAATGTATTATTTTGCTTTAAGAAAAATTGTTTAAAATCAAATATATATTTTAAAAAAAACATTTCAAATTTGAAACTAATTTAAATTTTAGATTACTTTTAAATTAAAACCATATCATTATTTTAATAAATAATTATAAAAATATGTACCTAGAAAGAAGTTGAGCAGCATACCCTCGGTCTTGAACTTTCCAAAAATGAGCTTTACCATTATTTCCTTTCATAAGAATAACTAACTGACACTGATTAGCCAAGAGTTTTATGTATTCTTCATTCATGTTCAATAAACAATTCTGTACAATTTTAATATCTGAAAAAATGTAATATTTAAATACTAAATTAAAATAATTTTATGGTTTTGTATAAATACTTGTAATTTTTTCAATCATCATATCTCCAGGAGGCATTATGAATTTCAATAAAGTTTTGTAAGCAATTTCTGCTACATTTGAAGAACTAATTCTTTCTATAACAGCAGTTATACTTTTTCGTGCATATAGTATAAGAGCATCAGCATTAGATCGAGAAAATGATTTTATTAACATATCCAAAAACCAATCAGACAATAATGGTAATAAACTTGTTAAAGAACAACTTTTAATAAAATTAGTAAACAATTTCATAGCTGCCATTTCTTGGTAGCGATTATGAGAACCTGTAAAATGTGGCTGGAGTACTGACCAAAAAGATTTTAGAAGTGAATCACTATTGTCATTGGATGTTAATGCATTTGCAAAAGAATCATAAATTGGATGTTCAAGAACATCCATGCTTGAAACACTCTAAATAAACAATTAATTAAATAAGTGTTATTAGAAACATCTATATAATTTAATACTAACTGTTATTAATATTTTTGCAATGTCATTCATCGAATCATTACACAGTAGTTCTGTAGCTGTATCAAAAACTCTCGGAATAAATGTACCATTAATTAATGAAGGATACTGTTTGTGTACTTGTAAAATACAATACAACAAATCTAAGTTTTGCTTTACTAGTGGTAATCCGATATACTTTTTTAATAATGGCCATATTATCTCAGCAAACATAACATTGTTAGACTAACATATAAAATTGAAATAGTAAATTTTACATTTGAAAAGGTAAAATTCAGAATTACTTACAGAATCAATTCCCTCAATTAAAAACTTATAAGTTAATAAAGGTAAATATGATCTAGTTTTTGTATTATTTAAAAGTTCAGTAACAATAAATTTTTGAGTTTCTGTTGAACTTGAACCAAATAAACCACTACGTATAGTTGCACCATAACAAAGAACTTTCCCAGATAAAACATCTCCTTCTTCCTGAGTACAGAGAATAGTATTAAAAAAACTTAAAATAAAAATTAAAGTTCTATCTATAAGCATACAATTTTTCTAAGAAATTTTACAATAGTTCAATATAAAAATTACTTTATATATTATGAAATTTAATTATAAATATTGGAATAATATTAATATATTATATACTACGAGAAAAAATTTTAATAATACAATTATATTTTAAATAGGGTTGATAATATCTACTTACTGCTTTTGAATCATACTTGGATAATTCTTTATCTACAATATCTTTAAAATTTTCAAATTTGAACCACTCTTTATCTGATAGATAATTGATTATTACAACTAATATAGAATAATAAACAGTTCTGACTTGAGTTTTTGGAGACCCTAATCCTCGTACCAACCTAGTAAGTACATAGAATACCTCTTTTTGTTGATGCTCGTCCAACTATAAATCACAATTGAAAATGTAAGTACAAGACTTAAATTAAAGAATTCTTTATATATACATGATAAAAACAATAACTACCTCATTAACGCTCAGCAGTTGTAAATGCTTTACTAGTTGCATACATAATTTTGGTTTCCCATTTTGTGGAGCTTTAATGACCTTTTCAAACAGATCTAAAACAGATTTGCTGGCCATTGTTATAATATAAAACGTTTAAAATAATCTCATTTTAAAACAAAATAACTTAGATTTACAATATTAAAAAAAACAATTGACTACATGTGGTAATTTTTTAAAATTCAACATGGCTAGAATAATGGTACGATGAATACACGTGATAATCGTTTGTTTATCAGCACTGATGTTAGTAACACCACTTCTAAATAAAAAAATAATTTCATATATCTGTAGTACCACAAGCAAATATCGCAATATATATGAAGTTAATAACAATAAATTTTTATCAAATGTTATCTACAATTAGTAAAATGACTCTACAAATGAGAATATTGTAAATTGTATAAATAGTGTAGTTCACTAATTAATAATTTTAAAATTATAATTACAATTAATAATATTAAACTTTTAACAGCTCCTACAGTATGGTATGTGTTATCTAATTAATATTTTATTTTATTAAGTATAAAAATCGTAATTATATAATACTAATGTTTTAACAATTTATTGATCGTCTATGTAAAATAATGTTTACAGTTTTCCTTAAGTTTGTTTAATGATATTTTACGGCCATTTAATGTAACCTATAGATGTTGGTCTGTTTCTATGCTTCCTGGCAGTGAGCGTGAAGATGTTGAACGTGGTGGAAAAAGTAAAATTTATTTAAAATAACTTATAATTTTTTCTAATAAGATTAATTTATTTTTAGTTATTATGCCACCATCTGCTCTGGATACATTAACTCGACTTAATATTAACTACCCTATGTTGTTTAAACTAACTAATAAGAAAAATAGCCGAATTACTCATTGTGGTGTACTAGAATTTATTGCTGATGAAGAAAAAGTTTATATACCATATTGGGTGAGTTAAACAATTTTTAAATCATTTTTGAAACATAATTACATGAATATTATTATTAGAGGTGAATTATAATTTGCACTTATCTTAAATTAAATATATTTCTACATAAATGACTGTACCATATATCTTTATTTTTTCAGTTTATTATGAGTGTTATAAAACTGAACATACTCTACTAACATACAATAATTTCTTTGTATATTTTATTAATTTAAAATTTAGCTATGGTATATTTATATATTATACATTTGTTTAACCAAAATAGATAATTGAAAAAACTTACCTTATCTATTTGTTATATTTCATTATTAGTCACATTAATATTAGTAAATTTTTATACTTTAACAATCTATATAGATAGGCAATAAACAGTATCAGATAATATTATAATTACAAATAGTATGACCAAAGAGATATTGAATATTTTAATTTAAAAATCTCATTGTTTGGATATTGTCATTAGTAGGTCTAGTAGTTATATGCATTTAAAAATTTTGCTGTTATTTTGAACAATAAGGACATATATAAGAGGTGATCAGAGGGACAATATTTAATTTAATTATTTTAATAATATTAATTTGATTAAATTAATCAATATTAAATTGCAAAACTTACAAATAATATTAACATCAAAAAAAAAATTTTTTTTCTAATATTGGTACATATTATTTTATGTTCGTCACTTTTATTTTAAAATTATCATATATATTTCAATAAAAATTGGTAAAAGAGGTTAACCTGTGATGAATTAAAAAAATGTTTTTTGATAATCAATATAAATTAAGAGAGATTCTAGAAAAATTTGGGTGCACCAAAATTTATTTAGTTACCCTACACTGAGATCTTAAATACGACCATGCTGAACATACCATAAGCTAGTACAAATTTTTATTAATTGACTTGAAAACTTAATAATGTGATTTTTACCAAAGTTTACGTTTTGGGTGGAATGGAAGATGTTATTCTCTACAAAAAGAAAAATATTTCTATGCTACTATATAATCCTATAATAAAGTTGCACAAACTTCAAATTGGTTCAAACAAATTTTACTAATGAATATAAATCATAGCACTAATCATTTATGTAATAAAAAATATATATTTTTTTAATTATGATAATTTAATTTTTTTTAATTAAAAATTAATTTTAATATAATTGAAAATCATTTTTTTCTTTTACTCATGAAAAATTTATCAACAAATCAGTGGTGTATTTAGCCAGGATTTCATATTGAAAGAAAAATATTCAGGTTGACTTTTTTGCTCATTACTTTATTTAAGGTCAATAGGAAGACTTGACTAATCTGTATGCATTACTTTAATTAACATTTTTTCTTTATTCTTATGTAAATAATGTAGTAGAGAAAACAATAATTAGCTTCTTACTTACTAATAAAGAGAAAAAATACACTGCTGTTTTGATTCAAACTTATTAAAAAATAATTTTTTTGATAATTATTATTTTAATAATTTTGTAATAGGTTTAGATACTTATTATAAAATTAAAAACTATACCATATAATTAAATACATTATTATATTTTTGTTATTAATTTATTTAGATGATGAAAAATTTACTACTTGATGAAGGAGACATGGTACAAGTAGAAAGTGTATCTTTAGAAGTAGCAACATTTTCTAAATTTCAACCACAAAATTCAGAATTTCTTGATATAACCAACCCTAAAGCAGTTCTTGAAAATTGTCTAAGAAATTTTGCTTGTCTTACAACTGGTGATGTTATTGCTATTAAATACAATCAAAAAATCTATGAAATGTGTGTCTTAGAAACCAAACCTGGAAATGCTGTTAGTATTATTGAATGTGATATGAATGTTGAATTTGCTGCTCCAGTAGGTTATCAAGAACCTGAAAATCCAAAAAAAGCGGATACTGAAGAAATGATGGTAGATCCAGCAGATTTAATGCCAGAACCAGAAGGTTTTATAGCATTTAAGGGTACAGGCAATAGATTAGATGGAAAAAAGAAAAAGGAAAGTAGTGATGATCAAACCAATCAAGTGAATAGAGTTGCATATCAAAGAGGTATTCCAGATTATGATTTTACTATTGGGACAATACAATTTTTAAGAAATATTCGTTCCGTTACTAATGAAAAAGAGGTAATATTATACATTATATTATAAATTAGTATTAATTGTAATATATGTGTTTTAACAGGGTTACTTTTTAATTATAGTTTCATTGTTAATATTTAGAAGATTTAAACTATAATTAAAATTTGTTAAAGACTCTTAAACTTCTTTGTTAAAAAAAAATTATAAATTTAATGGTTTTGTATTCAAAAATTATAAAATCAGTAGATTCTTCAGTATTTTTTCATGGAGGGGTTAAATATATGAAAAGTTTGACTACCCTCTCTAATAGAAAAGTAAATAATTATAGATATTTTAATTATGAAGTGTTGTGGGTAAATTCAATACATATCCTACATACCATTGTACAAATAATGTTAAGATTTTTTAAGGGTTGTAAATTTAATACATTGTAATTTTTATACTTTTTAGAATGACGAAAGTAGGTTTAAACCATTTGGAGGTTCAGGATCTGTTTTGAAGACAAAAACTAAAAAGTGAAAGAAAACTAATTATGTGATCTAAAAATGTTCTTAAACTTCTTTACATTAAGACCTATATTTTGTATATTATAATTTGTGTAAATATTGAAAGCATAGAATTTATGTACTAATTGTAATTGGATTATTTATCAATAAAATTTAAAGTTGTTTTAAATAAAAATACAGTTTACTAATATACATTACTGAGAGTGTCTAATTAAGTGCACAATTTTAGAATATGGTAACATATATTGTACATATATTTTCAATATCAATCAATAAATTTAATATTTACTACCTACCCAATTTTAATAGAGTAATTGTTTTTTTTTATATGTAATTCTCAATAAATACAACCACAAAAAGGGCTAAGTTCCAACTTATTACTTACACTATAAGACTGTGTTTTATGTTAAATTTCATGTTTATACTCATATGAATAATGTTTTATAATTTTAATGATGGGACTATCAGTAATTAACAAAAACAAATAGTATAGATAATATCTGACAGTGATTAAAATCACTATATATGAATAAATAAATATATATTAATAAAATATAAATATAAATAGTACTTATCTATTACTTTACTTTTCATCTCCTCGTTCATTATTATCCCTATATCATTCTTTGTATTAGTTTTACCTGAGTATGTTATTTTATAACTCTCTCCTATTTTCCTTGCTTTCTTTCCCTTCCACTTAGTTTCCTACGCACAACAAATGTTAACTTTTCTCCTCTTCAATACTTCTACTAATTCTCTACTTCTACTTCCAGTTAATGTTAATTCAAACATTCCACATACCTATTCTTACTTCGTATCTAGCCATTTAATAAAAAATGTTTTAATTTTTAAGTATCTTTTTCTGTTTTTTCATTAAAAGTATTTGAATTTATAATTTTTTTTCTGTATTCTTCACTTAAATAAGATAATTTATAACTGCAATATTGAAAACACATACTATCATGAGATTACAACAGTAAAATTTGTGATCTAGTGATATTATTTATGATCTATTCTATGAGGAATTTTTATAAGTATATTGCCATCAACAAAAATAAATTAAAAAAAATAAAAACCCAGCAAATTGGGGTGGCGGCATAGTAGGATCGTGGCATAGTTGGGTCCAGCATAGATGATATCTGACAGTGATTAAAATCACTATCATAAAAAAAGTATTGAAGCAAATCTGTAGATAGTGTTTAATTTAAAAAAATTAATGGATTATTCCAAAAGCTAAAGGATCTCCTATTTCATTATTAATATTCTGATTACAAGTTTTATGATTTATAAGTGTAATATATGAATAAATATATATGTATTAATAATAATATATAAATATAAATAGTACTTATCTTAAAAAATATATAATAATCCATACATTATTCAAATAGTTATAGCGTTATATAGTTAAAAATATGAAAAGAAATTTTTTTACAAAAATCGTATTTTTTTTTATTAACTTTGATGACTGTTTTCACCATGAAAACAAAATAAAGTTCAAATTTTTTTTTTCCATAATAAAGTATATTACATAACCTTTAATTTAAGGTATATATAAATGTGTCAGTATTTCCGGAACACTTTCAAAAGTTAATTTTTTGTGAAAAAGTCATTTTGAATCCCCTCTGTGGGCAAGTAAAGGGTCAAATTTATATAAAAAATATATCAAATGATAGGTAAGGACATTATGCATCTATTAAAAAAAATTATATTGATTTGTTCAATTTTGAAAAAGTTATGGCAGTTTTAAGAAAAAAAAGTGAAAAAATATCGAAAATTAGCGATTTTTAAATTTGTAATTTTTTTGGAGATTTCCCCCATTTACGGGGAACGAGGGAAATTTTTTCAATTTTTGATGGTAATGTCTTCGACTAGATACGATTTGTGATCTTTTGACGTATTGTTGAAAGAATTTGGTTCGGTGAAAGCTGAAAAAAGTAGTAATAGACACAAAAAAAAAAAAAAAAANGGTTTGGTGAAAGGTGAAAAAAGTAGTAAAAAACAAAAAAAAAAAAAAAAAAAGTAAATAAAAAAAACACATCATAGTAAAATTAATACCTTCTCAGCTTCGCATCGAAGCTACACTCCTATAAGACTATCAAATACCAAAAAAAAAAAAGAAATCCAAAGAAATCATTATCTTAAGGGAAATTGAGTGTCTATATGTCACCTTATTTATACTCATTGAAATATTACTAACATTAAAAAAACATTTTACAAAATATCTAAGAAAAAAGGATATAAAAGAAATTTATTGAACCTTAAAATTTGTTAAACGAAATATGCAAGGTTACGTCGTTTTTTAACTGCGCAAAATATGTTTAATTACACTTAATAATAATGACAACTTGTCACTCAATTTCAGTATGGCATACCAAACTCCAAAATATGATTTTTTTGTTTAATTTGAAAAATTAGAATATTTGGCTTAAAAATGTATAAAGTCTTAAATTAAGATTCAGATTTAATGACATATTTACAGGGCTGCATGTGGGGGTTATTGAGTGTACGTACCTAGGGCGGCATAATTCTTAGATGCAACCTTGCATACCTATAAAAAAAAAATACTCCAGGACTCAAGCTCTTCAAGATATACGTCATAATAAAAATGTATACATTTAGATCAGTAAGATTATTAAATATATAAATTTTATCTTTTTATGCGTCTATATGAGGCATTTATATAATCATAAACAAAACATTTTAGGGAGAACTAAATTTAATTTCCTTTTTTCATTATATAATATTCTTTATTCCATTAAATATTGGAAGTTAAGTCTCCTCGAATTTCCTATTTATACTTGTCTATATATATATATATATATTCAACATTTTATGGCATCCAAAATATAAAATAATAAATGGTAACAAATTACATTAGTTTCAAGGTGTTAATAAGTTAACAAGAATATTGGATCCAGGTAATTGGTAAATATAACTACGTTCTGCTTTAATATAAAATTGTGACTAGAAAATTTATGTAAATTTTAATTATGATAATATTTACAAATCATAAAAATAACGTGAGTCATTTCAGGTGTTACCATTTAAATTTTTCAAAGGTTTTCTTTGTTCTGATCATGTTATATTTTTAAGACGTCATTTTTGCAAATTAAGGTAAAGTTAACGGTAGATGGCGTGCTTGACAAGGAAATATGAAAACGTGATTGATTGATTATATTTGTTATCATTGAAATGTGTAATTTGACACAGTAATGAATATACCTATTTTCTTTGTTTTCATTAAGATAACGGCATTGACTAACGAGCACACCATATAATAATAATAATAAAAAAAATCGTATTGAAAACAAATGCATTACTTCGACGTACTCCGTCATACGCTAATGCTAAGTAGGATGATGAAAATATCGTCATTTTTAATGTAAACTTCGCAGAAAGCAATATTCACCATGCACAAAAAAGGAGTAATTAATTTAAGGTTTAACCAGGATCAAGGTGAGTGTATAATTCTTTTTTTCTCATAGTTTAGACCTGAAAAATTGCAACTATTGTATGAAATTGTGAAACCACGTTATTGTTTTAGGTTGTTTTTCTTGTTGCACGGAAACTGGACTAAGGATCTACAATGTCGAGCCTTTGGTACAAAAAGAAAAATATGGTAACTATTTATAGAATTATATTTTATTAGTTATGTTATTCTAAAATTAATGTTCATTTATTTTTTATTTTTCAATTAGAATTTGGAGGTCTCTCAATGTGTGAGATGTTGTATAGGACAAATTTGTTTGCTGTTGTAGCGGGTGGTCGATATCCTAAGTATTCCCATAATACAGTTTTAATCTATGATGACGTCACTAAAAAGTTTGTTATGGAATTCTTATGTCCATCAGCTGTCAAAGCAGTACGAATGAGAAGAGACAAGTTTGTTTCAAATCTTATAAAGTAAATTTAAGATCTATTATATTATTTCAAATAATTTTTTTTAGGATTGTAATTGCAAGTATTAATCAGATAAGTGTATTCACCTTTCCTGTTCCTACAAAACATATCATAACTATTGAAACTCGTCCAAATCCTATGGGTCTTTGTGAAGTGAGTCCTCTAGAAACATCTGAAAAACAAATTCTTGTATTTCCGGGACATAAAATTGGAAGCATACAACTTTTAGTAATTTTAATAATCTGACCCGTGTGCAATTGTTTAAAATAATATCTATTATTACTTTTTAAAGGATATCTCCAATCTAGAATCAAGTAGTTCTAGTTCACCTATTACTTTAAATGCTCATCAAGGAGAAATTACATGTTTGGCTGTGAATCAACAAGGAACTCTTGTAGCTAGTGCAAGTTCAAAAGGTACATTAATAAGGATTTGGGATAGTATACGAAAAACCAAAGTTGCAGAGTTAAGACGTGGATCTGATCCAGCTACCTTATATTGGTAAGATGATATTATAACTTATTAAACATTTATTTATTAACAACTTCAACTCTTTTAATATAGTTACAAAAATTAATTTTTATGAATTATGTTTTTAGTTTCGATGCAAAGCTGATGAGGTATTGATTATTTCTTTTTTTTATTTTATATAAAATGTTTAATGAAATCTTAATTAGTAACCAATATGTTTGCATCAAAACTAATGTTAATATATTTTGTGATAAAAATACATCTGGTAATATAGCGTCTAGAGTTTATCCTTACACATAACTTGTTATGATAAACATAATTTTATCAGCAAAAGTTTAATTTAATAGTTATAATAATAAAATTTAAAATATGTTTTTTTCGTCTTGTAAAAGAAATTACACATTTAAAATAACATTAATAAACAGACTGCATATAATCATTTAATTTTAATTAATTTAAAGTCTACTATTTTTAAAATTTAACATTCTTTCAAATTAGAAACTAAAATCTTGTATTAGAGAGAACTTTATAGTTTTGTGTAATGGCATCAAAATTTTTGTAGTACTGTGAAATGAGGTACAATATATTCTTCATCTAAATAAACTATAAAGATTTTCTATAATTTAAATTAATTACTTTATATATATGTTGATTTTTTGGAAGTAATTTAATAAACATTTAACTCATTACAGTACTAGTTTATTGTTTTTTCAGTATCAATTTTAGTCCAGATTCAGAGTTTTTATGTTGCTCTAGTGACAAAGGAACTGTACACATATTTGCATTAAAAGACTCTGATCTTAATCGAAAATCTAGTCTATCAACTTTAAGTTTTTTTAGTTCTTATGTCGAGTCACAGTGGGCTCTAACTAATTTCACTGTACCTCCTGAAATGGCTTGTATATGTGCATTTTTGTCTTCTAATACTGTTATAGGTAAGTGAAATAAAAAAATCTCATTCAAGTAATGTTCAGTTAACTTAAATGAAGTATATATTAGAATGATATAACTTTGTGAATTTCATACTTCTACTACTGTTTATATTTTCTATCAAATAAATAATTTTTCATTTATATTTGTGAAGTAGAACTCTGATTCAAAAATAGTTTATATTGTTTTCTTGAATCAAAAATTAAGGATAATTAAATTTTTTGATTAAACAAACAAATAAAAAATTTTCTATCCATTAACCCCACTAGTATGTTTTTACTCCATGAGGGGTCTTAACCAATCCCTTTGGTTGCTTCACTGGCATTATACTAAATATTTTGATACTATATATGGTGAATTTCCAACATTGTAGTAATAAGAATACATCATTCCTATGTTTTAATTATTAAAATCAATATATTATATTTATAGCCGCCTGTCTAGATGGAACTTTTCATAAGTACACATTTTTGAAAGATGGCTCATGCAGACGTAAAGCATATAACATATTTTTGGATGATTGTACAGATGAAGACATATAAATGTTATTTGTTTCTATTTCACTTAGTTTTAATATGTGACCTTAATAATTAAAGTGGAAATTTTACATTTAGGTATTAATGAAACTTTAATTAATTTTCAGTTTAATTATTATATTTTTTTGTATAATGTAGATCAACTTTTGTCAAATTAAGAAAATAATTAGTTGTTTTTCAATATTGTCTTCTTTTATTGAGGTAGTATATTTTAATACAATACTACATATTTCCAATATTGTGATAAATTTATTTTAAGATATTTATTGTTATTTATCTAATTTTTTATACTAATGTTTTTCAATTGTTAATGTACAAATTTTATATTATAAAAACATCATAATTGTACTGTGCAATTTTTAAGTCAATTATAATTCATATATTTCTGTGTACTTTGTGGAAAAAATGCAGCCTATAATGGTTATCTACTAAATTTGGTGTACTGAGTGTTATTGTTGAAACTACATTTGTATGTAACTAAAGTGTTAATAGTAAATGTAATTGTAACAAGCTATTAATGGAGTGCAATTAACTAGTTAATTATGTATGCATTATAAAGGATATTTATGAAAAAATTGATCAGATCATTAATTGTTTGAATTTTAATTTATTTAAAACATTTTACCAGATACTCACAAATGAAAAAAGGAAAATACTATATAATGTTGGAGTCATTAAAAAAATTATTAAATTCAAGATGTAAATTTATTTTACATTATATAACTAAGTATATCATTCACAAAGTTTAACAAATATACATGCCAAGAATTATTATCTATTATAGTGACTAACTTTTTTGTTAATAATTTTTTAAATGTTACAGTTCATTTTTTGAGGTCGATAAAACTATTAATTAATATTATTTATTAAGTAACAAGGAATAAATGCTGTTTATTGTATTTAGTGATGAGATAATACTATCTTTTACTTTATAGAGGTATAATAAATGTATTATATATGTTTAACACATTAAAGAAATTTTATAAAAAAAATAGGACTTATAATTACGTAACAATTCGAGAACAATATTAAGTAAAAAATAACTTATAAAACAATCGTTTTAAAATCTAGTGAAAATATTAAATAATATTAATTTAATATTTAATAATATTAAATACTTAATATTTTAAGTATTGAATAAGATTTCAAATATTAATTCTCTTAATATTATTGATAGAAATAAATCTTTTATAAAAATACTTTTAAAATGAAAACTAAACCATGGGAAAATATTAAGTATAATTTAGAAAATCATTATATGTACACATTTTTTCATTGAAATCGTATTCTCAACAGATTTTTTTTCTAACTTTATAAATAATTTTAAAATGATTGCAAAATGTTATTCCATCATTCACGTGATGCTGTCGGGGCACAACCGCTTTCAGTTCACGTTAAACTTCAACGCGAGTAAAGCATTGAGAGTACAGCGGCGACCGTCGACCTGATAGATAACTGTGCCAAAACTGAACTGTCAAAGTTTGACAGTCAGACTGCTATGTTTTTATTCCATGATAAATGTTTTTGTATTCTATGAGTTTAGTGCAAGGTCGTCTGGGCGGCGCCACTGTCGATAGTTCGCGCTCTAATCCTGATCGAAATCGTATGGTAGAGGATGTGTGAACTGTGAGAGGGACATGGTGTGGAGTACCAACACAACAGTATACAAAACAAAAACCGCTGCCGTCGTCTTCCATAACTGACGTGCGCTGCTGCCGTTGTGCGCAATCGACTAGTGAGTGTTGTTATTGGGGCCGCCCGGTTTTTTTCACGCGGTATCGCCGGTATACGTACAATATTCGTACATAAAGCGGCCGCTTATTGCGCAGTAGACGGTTTGCCGTATATTTATTCTGTCAAAATTGGTACCGCTGTGCGGTTTTCTCGATATTAAAATTCGTAAAAAATCCGGACGAAACGGTACAATGGTGGTGCACCACAGCGCGACATCCGTGACCATGGAGGTGGACCCACCGCGGAACGCCAATAGCCCGGACGATCCGAAAACAGCAAACGGTTCTTCGGAGAATGAAAAAGCTGAGGATTCAGAATCATCCGAAGATGGGCCTTTGGACGTTGGCGAACACTATTTGGTTCGCCGGTACGACGACACATGGCGTGAGTACACCTCTATTCTTTGTTCTACAGTATTATGGCTCGTTGCCGCCCGGCCGGTGCCCGCAGCAACGTGATTTCGGTGCGTGCGTGCGTGCGTGTGGCGCGTCCCGCCGACTGTTGTCTGTGTTGTCAGAGTGGCGAGTGGACGGGGGGATAGAGGTTGAGTCGTTAAAGCTAGTAGACACTGTTCATTGGAGAAGTGATGAAATGTTGTGCAATAGCGGCGCAACATGTGATTTTACACAAACATTGAATTTTGCATATTTTGCTATTTGCATGATGACAATATATAATTTATAGTCGTGATATTTGTTTCCCATGCGCGTTTTCTCTTAATCAAAACTTGTTTTTCACTTGGCTTTTCTCCGTTAACCCTTTCTGGCTACCGGAACATGGCCAATGCTCTTTCCGACGTGCCATTGTTTTTTATTCATTAACCTAGACGTGTTAATAAAAATTCAGCATAGGCGCCAAGCGTTCTCGTCGGTCATATCATAAATAAGGCTCCCTGTCGTTTTACTCCCATTAAATTAGTGTTATCATCAATGCTACCCCACTAATTCTTGGTCATTAGTATTATTATTGATTGGACACTGTAGCGATAAAGATAACGAGTTAAACTACTTTTAAGTGAATTTAAAAAACATAACAATCATTTTTTTAGTTTATATACTTGTGTTTTGCACAACGAAAAAAATCGCAATACACATAAACGAATAAATTTATTAAAATAAAAAAGTCAAGTAAAATTGCCTGATACGTCATTTTCCCTAATGAAGTTTGTTAAATAATGACACTAGTAACTTGACGTGTCCAATTAATTTTAAGTTTAAATACGCAACCGAGAACGTTTTACACGATTGGCTAGTATTATATAATTTGAGCAACTTGCAATCAAAATATTTTTTTGAATACCCAAGTTAGTATTCAACTGCAGACGACTTTGCGTGTTGGAATAAAATTGTATTTTTACCTCTGTGATTAAAAAAAAATGTTCATTTATTCATTCTATTCCAAAACTTTCTTCGTGTATTGTCTATTCTAATTTGTTGACGAGTGTTCGACTATGAATGTTAGAAAACAATAAATAAATATGGTAGAATTCTATAGCATTTTTTTTTTTTTACTGAGCCAACTGAAATAGGTTGTTGACAATATACAAAAGCAATGTTGCGAACAGAAAAAATGGTATCATAAATAAAGTCATTGTTAAATGTATTGTAATAAACATAATTTTATATCTGAAGAAATATAAAATTAAAAAATGAAAATTTAGAACTCGTAATATTTTTTAAAAATATTTTTCCACTTGACTTTTTGATTGTCTATAAAAATTAGCGAAATAAATTCGAATAATTACAACTCGTTACATCATATCAAATAGTTGCCGGATTATTATTACGATTTAATTTATCTCAGAAATTTATCAAAGCTTATAAAATTATATTCATTAGTTTATTGGTTGAATTAATGAACGGATTTTTATGACATATAGTTAGCGTTCAAGAAATAAACTTGATAAGAATGATGACTGATAATAGTAGAGCATTGTAAAAATATATTAATTTGTCTTCAGGGTTTTTTTTATTCATTGTAATTTTCATAATAACTGTCATTTATATGTTGACGTAAGAACTATTAGAAAGCAAATGTATTAATCTAAAGGTGGACCTAAAACTGTTCTAATATATTTGTCATTAATTTTTTTTTTTTTGAAAAATTATAAAATATCTATTTTGATAAGTTTATATTTTTTTGAGATGCAATCTGGAAAAAAATTGATTTTTTACTTTTTGAAGGAATAACTACGTTTTTGAAATTATGTTTCCATCAATTTTAAAGAAATTACTGTCCGAATTTGATGTTCTTGTTATGAGTAATTACAAGTACAAGTTTGATTATATAATTCCATTAGATAATATTCAAATTTCGCTAAGAGTTTAAATCTAGTAATTTTCAAACAACTTCAATGTAGATGGTGTTTTTAGTTTAAAAAATTTTGTTTTCGATGCCTTAAAAAAAAAAAAATATTTAATAAAAATATACTTGTGTGTAATAGTACTAAATCATTGATATTAATTGTTATTTGGTGTGTAATAAAATAGTACTATTTTTATCCATAAACCTATGAACATATTTTAATACATTATTCATGCAACTCTCACAGAATATCGAACATCGCATTTTATTTTGTTTATCAGAAGTTCTAACGGTTAATTATTATTGAATTGAGTTTTAAGTTACAACAAACAAAATAAGAAATGAGAAGAATTTTTTTTTTTTTATTATTAATTAAATATCGACTTTTACTATTTATTCTCGTGAAATTTACTTTAAATTTTATAGTTTTTATTTTATTTTCAGAAGAACTTTTATTGTTATTTTCTACAAGTGTCTTGATAGCTGTGTAATTTTTTTCTGTTTTACTGGTTCTCATTACGAAATTATACGTTAAAAATAACAATGAAATGTTACTGAAATTTTCTTTATACATTGAATATCCACGTTTTTGTCCTCTTTAAAAAAAAAATCTGTAGCCTTAATTATAATACAATTATCTTAACTTAGTGGATTCCTCAGAAAAAGAAAATTATTATTTTTTTTTTTCAATTTCACAATGTTCTAGAATAATATATGTTCACTATTTATGAACGTGAACCATTTATTGATCTTAAATTGTATTAAAAGATTTTAATAAATTATTTTGCCGTGAGCTAGATGAGTATTGCTGTTGTAATTTTCGTGATGCAATCTTTGCCAGAAGTAGATAATTTAAGAATAAAGTTTTACAGCTTATAAGAAGCGAATAATATGTTGTTGCTTGTCAGTTACAGTGTTATTTATTTTTAATTATTTTATATGCTATTGAAGTGTGAAGTATTGTTGAAGTAGATAATAATTTTATATTGCAGTGTGTATCAAGTGACTCACTAAAATGTGTATGTCATAAAATAAAAATACAGCCAACTGATAGCTCAACAAAATATATGTTTATCGTGTGTATACAGTTAATATTACACTCATATTAGTAATAATTTAATTACGAAAACTGAAAAGATAAAGGCGAGTCTTTTTTTAAAGGAGGGAGTGTTGGCTATTATTTCAATTCGTTTTTTCATAATTTTGTATTGCTCAAATAATTGGATTATTTTTACATTCTTTACATATTAATAATATATGTACATCTATTCAGAATTTGACGAATAATAATTATTACAAATTTTTCGATCAGCAGAAGATCTAGTTAAGTTTATCGAATATTTCCGTAATGTTTGATTTAGAACGAACATAATTGGTAATTACATTAAATTGGTTTAATGTTTGCCCATGCCCGCATTTTACGTCTCCAATATTTCCCCGCCCCTATCTTATTTTCTATGAATGATCGTATTATTATTGAATTTACAATAATAAAAGATTTCACTTAAGTATCAAAACGGATATGATTATCTAATTATGAAGTTCTCTAGACGTTTATTCTCTCCCTAAATACGATAGAATAAATAGATACGTAAATACGTGTTCACTTGATAATTGCTAAGACTTTGAAAGTTAACTATATACATAAATTATTTATTGTAAATGAAAACGGATAAGATAATCAATACCAACAGTGAAATAATATTGATACATAAGGTGATTCTTTTTTACCATATCCACTCAATTTCTCTTAAAATAATAAGTTTTTTGAAATTTTTATTTTATTAGCTACACGTGTACTTTTATTTATTTGTTGTAAAATAATTTTTAGACCCATCTATTATGTCTTATAGGGATATCGATTTAATTGTTTTAAATGGCAACATACATACTAAACTAGTTTATTTCCTTTAAAATTATCTAATTAAGAAAATTTAAGCTTTAAGTGGTGCAGCTTTTACTAGTGTACAAGTTATATAGGCTATTTTGATATTTTCTTATCAGTGAAGACTAATAAAAAAATTTGCTTTAAACGTAATTCAAGAAGTGGATAATTATTTAAAAAAAAATTCACCAAAATGATAATTGTATCAAAAATTATAAGCATTGTCAATAAGGTCTGAGACACTATATTGATATTATATATAGTAAACTAAATATAAGTATATTTATTTTTAAATGGTCATAAATTACCTATTCTGTATTTTATATTATTTTACATAATTATTGTTTTTTAATTCGTAACACTATCTAGTGAGAAATGATTTTTAATTTCCTTAACTTGTTAAAGAACTGAAATTCGCAACACGATGAAACCGGTTTAATTTTTTCGATTTTTCTGACATTACTAACAACTTATGTATTTTATTTTATGTGTTATTTTAGTATAAAAACAAAATTCTCGATTTTTGCATTGCCATTGTTAGTTTTTGTTCATAGCGACAAATTAATTGTGTCATTAATAAATGATGACAATTAATTTTTAATGAAATTATAATTCAATTGAATAATAAAAAATCGAGATTAATTATTGATGTTATGAAACATAACAAGTAATCGAATATAAATTAGTCAAAATTAGCCTTCATAATATGAAGGCTAAATAAAAAATTGGTATTTATATTATAAATACCAATTTTTTTCGAGGGTGTAGTTAAACACTATTATTTTATACTTAATACATTTTTGTAAAATATGTACCGGTTGTAGAATTTATACTTTAAAAAGTTTTTTTTTTATATAAATTAATACTAGTAATTCTAATTAAGTAAAATTAAGGTGGTACGAAATAAAACTAATAAAAAAATAAAACATCATTTTTTTTTTTTTTTTTT